GGCTACAAAAGAGTCTGGAAACCACCTTAGTCAGAGGTGCCTCCTCTGTTTAGTGCTGGGTAAGCAAAGTCCTGCTGCAGAGCCTCCTTGCTTCTCAAAATCTCAACCTGAGTATGCCTTGTGGTGTTTAATTCTATTTAATCCCTTTGCCCCTCAGGCCACTCTCCTGAGTGGTGGCAGATATTTTAAACTCTATGATGGAGAGTTTAGGAAGTTTCCAGCTTCCTAGCTGGAAATAACTCTTTTCTGAAAGCATCCTCTGGCTTTCTAAAGGATTAGCCACAAAATATGTGTGTATATGGGACTGGAGCCCAAATACTGCAGCCAGGCAAATGGTGGATGACTTTCATTCTGGAATGTTTTATGCCAGGAGCCCTAGCAGAAATCTCAAATATTTATTAAGAAGACAGGGTTTCTTAAATTTATTAACTTACATTTTTCTGTAGTATCCATCTATATGACCTGTGACTCAAAATATTGACCAGAACTGAAAAGAGGTGAAAAAGAGGAAGGTATATATAGTTCATTATCATTATGATATTGAAAAATTTTAATTTTAGTTCAGTGGATGGTGTAAATGCCTATTACTTACAGAAGACATAAAAATTCTAAGTGCTGCTTTATAGAAAGAAATATGTGTTTATATATTTCTCAGGCTCACTCTAGGTTTGGCAAACCTTGATTTCTTTTAGAATGGTTTTTGTATGATGAATATTTTCTGAATTTCTTAAACCTTTCACATACTTTATGATTAGAGCCTGGGTAAGTCGAAGGAGCGGATTTTCTTGGGCTGCAAGTCAGGTGTTGAAGTTTTAAACCGTGTTTTTAATGCTCCTGTTTTCTCTTTCTCATCATCTTGATAGTACAGAGCACTGGTGAACATGGGCTGCTTTTTTTTCTTTTTGTGACCTTCTGATTTGCAGAGTTTTGTTGTTCATAAACTGTAATATGATAGGGTTGTGAGAGAATTGGATAGTCACTTCATTCTCTCTTCAGTGTCTTACCCAGGGTCGATGGATCAGTATGACAAAGGCTATATAATGTCAGGACTTGTGAATTATTCAGAGATTTTCAAAGGCTTTCCTTTACTGTCTGAATTATTAATCTTGTTCATTTACATCTTTAACGAATGATGAAATTAAAAGTTGAGTGTGAAAATAACATTCTTTTCATATTTTTTCAATTGCAGATTTGACTCTGCTTCCTGATAGCTCTGTGTATTTTTTTACCTCATCCTCAGAATTTCCTGTGGTTTGAAATTCTTTTACTGACATGAAAACAGTTGTGATTTGAAAAACAGAACAACGTTGAAGCTGGTAATACATAAAGCAGTTGAACTTATTAATATGACTCAGAAACAGGATAGAAGTAAAAGGTGTCATTTCCTATGTGTAAATGGAAAACCTATGAAACGGAGGTCTGGGAATCTCCTGTGATTGCATTGACAGACTGTGAAAATAGCAGGATCCACTTATAGAGACTGACTTGAAAGACCTGAAGACAGATCCAGTGTCGTCCCAGCAGCAAATCTATGGGAAGCTATTTTGTACAAGGAATTGCTATTGATGTAATGAAATAGCTAAATGCTCCTTCACAAACTCTCTCTTTGGGAACCTGTTACCTTTAAAGGGATGGATGGCAGGAGAAGGGATATTCCCTTGCTTTTTAGTGGAAGAGTCCTAGAAATAAGAAATCTGTATTGGTTTTTCATGGCAAGCTTTTGGTAGCAGGAGGCTGCAGGGGTGGCTTCTGTGAGAAGCTGCCAGAACTTCCCCTGTGTCTGACACAGCCAATTCCAGCTGGCTCCAGATGGACCCACAGCTGATCAAGGCTGAGCCCATCAGTGGTGGGGGTCCTGCCTCTGGGATAACAGACTTAAGAAGGGGGAAAAATCCTGTTCAACAATCTGAGAGAGAGGAGTGAGCATATGTGGAACAGCTCTGCAGATACCAAGGTCAGTGAAGGAGGAGGAGAGGAGGTGTTCCAGGTCTGCAGAGACTCTCCTGCAGCCTGTAGGGAAGGGCATAGTGAGGTCGCTCTGACTGCAGCACACAGAGGGCCATGGGGGAGCAGAAATCCACCTGCAGCCTGTGGAAGATCCCACACCAGAGCAGGTGGATGCACTGGAGCAGGGCCCTGGCAGGACCTGTGGATAGAGGAGCCCACACTGGAGCAGGTTTGTTGGCAGTATTGTGACCCCTTGGGGGACCCAGAATGGAGCAGGACCCACACTGTTCCTGAAGGAGTGCAGCCTGTGGAAGGTACCCACGCTGGAGAGGTTCATGAAGATCTGCAGCCCATTGGAAGGACTCATGTTGGAGAAGATTGTGGAGGGATGTCTCCCATGGGAAGGACCCCACACTGGAGCAGTGGAAGAGTATGAGGGGTCTTCCCTCTGAGTAGAGGGGAACAGCAGATGTAAAGTGATAAACTGACCACAACCCTCAGTCCTTGTCCTCCTGCACCACTTTTGGGGAGTAGGTAGGAAAAAATGGGTGTGAAATCGAGCCCATGAAGAAGGGAGAGGCAGGGAGAAGGTGTTTTAAATGCAGTTTTCTTTCTCATAACCCTACTCTGATTTTATTGATAATAAATTAAACCAGTTTCCCCTAGCTGAGACTATTTTGACTGCCCATGATGGTAACTGGTGATCTCTCCTTGCCCTTATCTCAGCCCAGGAGCCTTTCATTGTATCTTCCCTGTCCTGTCCAGCTGAGGTGGGGAAATGGCAGGGTGGCTTTGGTGGGCACCTGGTAGTCAGCCAGGCTCACCTACTAGAAAATTGTATTACCTTGAATTTGAACCCCACAAAGAGCTGAAGTTTTCTCTTACCACTTACAGGGAAGTAAGTTACTTATCTCACCCCTTGGAAGCCCCTGCTCCCTGTCACAGAGAAGAGAGTGGACTGGAGACAGCTGAGGTCATGAGAGGCATCACAATCAGAGCTCCTCCAGGAAAAGCTACCTCTTCTGCACTTGGGTCATGGTGCACAGACACTTAATGCTGATCTCTCTGGGGTTTATTTTAGTAGGGAATGGGTATTCCCCTGTGTTCCCAAGCTGGATAGGAGTGCTGGAGGGCAGGAAAACTCTGCAGAGAGATCTGTACAGGAGATGGAGAGATGGACCAAAGCCAATTTTATGAGGTTTGAAGTGCACAAGGCAGTGCTGGGTTCTGTGCTTGGGTCACAGCAACCTTATGCAGTGCTACAGGCTTGGTGAAAAGTTCCTGTTAGAAAAAGATGAGGGGTTGGCAGCCAGCTGAACATGTCCCAGCAGTTTGTCTGGGTGGCCAAGAAGGCCAATGGCATCCTGGCTTGTATCAGCAATAATGTGGCCAGCAGGACCAGGATTGTTCCTCTCCAGTGCCAAGTGGAGAGGCACTGAAGATGCATCTTGAGTGCTGAGTTCAGTTCTGGGCCCCATCACTACAAGAAGAACATTGAGGTGCTGGAGTGAGTCCAGAGAAGGACAAAGAAGATGGCAAAGGGTTTGGAGCACAAGTCCTGCGAGGAGTGGCTGAGGGAGCTGGGAGTTGTTTAGCCTGGACAAAAGGAGATTCGGGGGGAGCCACGTGGCTCGCTATAACTACCTGAAAGGAGCCTGTAGCCATGTGGATGTCGGTCTCCTTCCAGATAATAAATGACAGGGCAAGAGGAAATGGCCTCAAGCTGCACTAGGGTAGGTTTAGGCTTGGTATTAGGAAAAATGTCTTTGCTGAAAGGGTTGAAATATTGGAACAGACTGCCCAGGGAAGTGGTTGAATCACCACCCCTGGAGTTATTTAAAAGATGTGTAGGTATGACTCTTTGGGACATGGTTTAGTGGAGGGCTTGATAATCTTAAAGGTCTTTTCAAAGATAAACTATTCTATGTTTTTATGGTTCTATAATTTATGTCCAGAATGAAGCATTTCAGTATTGTGAAAGAAAATAGTGAATTGAAATGTAAACTTACAGCTGAATCCATTTGTTTCATAATGTATGTTCAAAGAAAAAAATGTTTAAGTGTGATTCAAAGCCTAAAACTTATTCAAAGCATAAACATTTCCTAAATTTTTAGGAAATTGGATTTTCTGAGAAAAAAGCTTTGCATGTCTTTTACTTACAGGGCGCTTACAGGGCAGCAAATATGAAGATACCCATTGTATTCTCACCTTTGTTGGTGTCAGTCAAGTCAAAATCCATTGAACTTAAGGGATTTAAACTGATATAAAACTTGTTAGAGGACAGAAACAGGTTTAAATCTTAGAACTATGACAATCTAACTGAAAACCAAAATACATTGAAACAGAAAGCAAATCCATGTTTTCAATAATAAGGCACAAACATTGCAAAGGCAAACAGTTACAAATAGGCAATACTAATCAAGTTGTTAATATTACAGAGAAAATGCAAGTAACTCTCTTTCAAGGGACTTAGGCTGCATAGTCTCCATTAGCTGGAAAACACACAGTTAAAACTAATAATCAAGGAAAGAAACAAATGAATTATTTATCAGTGCCATGACTATTTTATGTGTCATGGCAATCCCCTCCAAATTGTTTATTCCCTCATAGTTGCTGACTTTTTACTTTCTGCATTATGTTCACAGCTTAATGAAAATTGCCTTCACAGGTTTATTTCCTTAATGAGATGCATAAGTACAAGTAACACAAGTTTAGGATAATACATGTATTGGTACAAAATGTTTAAAATCACATCTTCTTGCCCTCAGTGTCCACTTTTGTGCCTAAATATATATGATGTTGATCTGCTACAGTAGCATCTGTTTTTCTCTGTCTTTGGTGTGCGCCACAAAATTTGTATCATGGTTTTTGGTTGATATCAGAGAATAAATACACAGCTTTAATCATATAATTATTTTGTGTTAGGAGGATTCTCATTTTAAGACTGGATTCATGTCTCCTGCCTTCCTTTTCTTGCTCCCTCTTTCTGTCCACCTTTGTTTCTTACCTGCTCCTTCACCCTTTTTTCTTCTGATGCTTTGTGGGTGTTTTACTTATGCAAAATTTAACCTTAGAATCTCTGTTTTTTCCCCTGACCTGGTTTGGTATGGTGGGCATAAAACTGGAAGATTCACATCTGTAGTTGTAGGTATGTGTCTGAGCTGAATTAAGTTTTTCTTAGTTTGATTATTGAAAAAATGAGTTGGGTTTTCTTTAAACTGCTTCATATTTCTAATGATAAACTTTTGTTGTTGGGGCATGGGAAGAATTGGTGTTTTTGAACCATTGGCTGTAACAAGAGGGCAGGTATCTGCAGGTTCCTGTGTTGTCCCCAGCAAGGAAATCTTCCTAGGTAGCGTTTCTCTCAGGGTAGCCTGTTGCAGCCTGGGGAAAGGTGACTGCTGGGGACAATTAATCATGAGGAGATCAGCACCGTCTTTATCAAGTTGCCTCTGTGTTGGGATGTGAATATTGTCATATACTGTTTTTAGAAGGTGTTTAAACCTCCTGTCCTGACGAGGCAAAGGACTGCTGGTAGTAATTCTGTTTTCCACCAGGGACCATGGAAGTATTTTGCTTGTACTTGTCATTGCTTGGATGTTTGAAAAGGGAGATTGCTTATTTGCTGTTTTGAATGGGTATTTCTCATGAAGACATGGTCTTCTGGCCTCTGTCAAGTCTTCAAAATCATTGTGATTGTTCTGAGAGTCCAAAAGTGGCTGATAAATGGGCTCAAATGGCATACTTTTTCTTGATGACTCAGGAGGCCCACAGCTTACCAACTCTCTTTCTGCAAACTCGGAAACTAAACAGAATATAAAACAAATCAGATCAGCTTCCACTGAACTGGTATTTTCAAGAAAATAACATGTTATTATCAAATCAGCTTCATCCCATAATAAAATACGTATTTGTAAAGGCATAAATAAGAGTACGTCTTGACAAAGAATGAAATTTTGCACTGATGATTTCAGGCAGATGGTGATCTGCTGGTAGGCAATTGTCAGATTTTTTTGGGTGAACAGCCTCAAATGAGCCTCTCCACATGAAGTTGTCTAGCTTAATTTTATTGAGTACTATAGAATCAAAGAATCAAAGAATAGTTTGGGTTGGAAGGAACCTTAAAGATCATCACAATCCCCATTCACCATTCTCTAGTTCAGGTTGCTTAGAGCTCCACCCTACGTGGCCCTATAGGATTGGGGCATCCACAGCTTCTCTGGGCAACAAGTGCATTTATGCTTCTATCACATCATTTGAAACATGATACATATCTAAATAGCCATGAGGGTGCCATAACTGGAGCAGAAATAAATTCAGATATGGAGGTTGATTATCCTGGCATCTTCTGTATTTCTGAGACTGTGGAAAATGATGTCATGAATATGAGTACAACCCCTCACTGGGTATAGTGAAATTGTGACACTTGCACCATGCTCATGTAGAATAAAGGGAATAATATAATATTAATAAAATAAAGGGAATGTAGATAAATGCCCTTTTTCACTCATAAATGTCTGTTCTTGCAAGTGCTTTAGAGGTACTAGTACCATCCCCTCCTAGAGGAAATAACCCACATATGGACATGGAACAGTTATTTGTTATCACTGTCTGCAGAGTATGTACTGGGTCAGGTGTTTATCTGCTAATTACTTCACTTGATCAAAACTAAATCTATCACCAGTGTTTTGCTCAAAATACTCATAATTTCAGAACAAAATGCAAAGATATTTCTATAACATTTTCAGGAATTTTGTTCCCTTTTTTCCCTCAGACAGGGAAAAAACCCTTTTACCCTTTTGAACTAACATTCCGAGACTTACAGCAGTACCTTTTGACAAGTTTTCTTGGTTTTCCAATACAACTGTGATCTCATCTTCTTGAATAGCATTCTGCATTGCAAGGGTTAGTACAGTAGGAAATTCCCTACTGCCATAATTCCCAAGGTTTTCCAGCATGTCCATTTCAGCCTTCTGGGAAATCTTAGTTTCTGACTCTTTATTCAGCTGTTTATCAGAATTAATACTGTGTTTTTCTGCTTCATGTTCCCTCTGTAAAATGATCAGACACCATTTGATTTGAAGGGAACAAAAAAACACCTAAACTTCAGAAGAAATCATGCTATAAGGTGTAACAGGAAATCTTGTTTTCAAACAAGCCTTAGCTACACACATCAACATTTCATCTGAACAGACCCTACTCCAGAGGTTGTTCCTGAAACCCAGCATTTCATGGGCTGGCAGACCCTTCTCTCTGCCACACAGGCTGCAGGGAGAAAGTTTGCATGAAAATCCACTGGGCACTAGAATGCCAGCTTTGGAGAGCCCTCCTTTAAGGCTTACGGCTCACAGTCTCCCAAGATGCGTAAGGAAGGTCAGGGATCATAAAGCTCATGAGGCAAAGCAGAAACATCACAGAATGCTGTGGGCTGCTCCTGATCCAGAAGAAAGATTGTCATGGGCAAGCTGCTGTTTGCTATGAAAGCAAGTAGTCAGCACAAGACTAGAACAGATCTGGGGAGGTTTTGCAGTGGAATTGCAGCAGGAGGACCTCCATGGAGCTGTGGGAACAGGACCATTCATCCCAACAAGAACATGGGCTTCAGGACTCCTTGCTGCAGTGCCACTTCACTCCTACAAGTGTCTTCCATGCACAAGGGATAGGTTCTCATATGGAGGTCACTTGTCTGTCCTATGATCCAAGTTTTCAGAGTCTTCTCTGTGTCAGCCTCATTCACACTGAGTTTCAAAGTGTCAAAACCTTGTGAAAATGCAAGGGCTGTGAAATAAGATATTAGCTTTCAAACATATTTTTCACAAGGGGAGCATTTTGCAAAGCAAAGAATAGAAGAAATAAATCCTTTCCTACAGAACTAAGTCCTGTGATGAACTGACTGTTTTGTTCTGTGAGCTGCTTCTGTCATAGAACATCTCCCTTCAGGTCTGGTGCTCTTGAAAAAGATATTTCTGAAATGCAGTTTATGAAACCAAGATAACTACCCACATGGATATCCCAGTCCAATGCCAAGTTTTTTTTGCTGCTCTCCATATCATCTTTCACAGACCCACTTTGTCTCTGGCTACCACTTCAAGGATTATCTCTAGTGACTTTTGATTTTTTACTGACATCCCCACAGAATACGAAATTCTTGCTTCCAGAATCAGAGAGGTAATTAATTTTACTATGGTGTACTCATCTTTTTCATGGTTTTCTTCTGATCTTTGCATTGCAAAGTACTCCCATTGTTAAAAATATGTTTTTAACATGTTGTTTTTAAAAGTGGGTGTAATTTGTGGAGAAAAGGCACTTTTGATAGCTTGAATGTATTTTGTGAGTTAGCAATAATGTTTGGAAAAATTTGAAGGACTCCAAACCTCAAATCTGCGGGGTCATCCCATCCTTCCTACATACTTGTAGTACCCAAACACAATTAGGGACATTATTTTAAGAGTATTTATAAAAAGAAACAAAATAAGTTTAAGTTGACAACATATTGCTAAAATCACACTAGATCAATTGGGAATTTGAGATGTCATAAGTGTTTTAGGCTATGCAATCAAATAGTCTCCCAGGATTTTACACACTGCTAGTTAAGAAAACAAATTTTCATCTTACATTTTGCAAGCTGTCACCTTATATACAGTATATTGGAAAACTTGCCATGACTGGTTTTACTGCCAGACCTCTTAAGAGCTAATTGGTTAAGCACCTGGGCAGGAAGCTTTTTGGCAGAAATGCTATTTTCTGCAAGGACTAGCTATAAAGTTCTGGATGGCAAATTGTAATCATTAAGGCTCCCTCTTCTACAGCAGAACGCATAAAACGTAAATACATTGCTTGGAGAAACTACGATGCATAAAAGGACAGGCTGTGTTTTAAGTTTATCCAATGACTTATGGCTCAAATTTGAACATGGAAAGGATCTTATGCTTTTTTAAGGGTAAATCTTTCAACAGACTTTTCTAATTGCAGCCAGAAAAATGAGAATCACATCTGTTTGCATCCAACAAAACTATTATTTGCTTGTTCAACCGTTAACTTCTGTATACAAGGAGATGGTGCAAATACAATGACTCATACTGGTTTTTCAAATGCAGGGGGTTTGTACATGAGAAGTAATTTCCACAAACTTTTTTTTTTCAGTTTTAGATTAGAATTTCTCCTGAAAAATTTTCCCCAGGAGATGGTATGTTTCTTGGTTTTGTGCAAAAAAATCATAGAATATTCTGCTGCCTAGAATGGGTTGAATGTACTGTTTTGTGATATGTATTTGAATTCCAAACAATGTCTGGGCAGATTGTGTTGGTAGAATATTTTATTGCTTGTTATTCATAGGCATTATCATGAGTGCAATTACTTTTCTGTTTGTGTTGATATTTGATATGTTTTGTTCTTTTTGGACAGAATATTCAGAAGAGCTAGATGCCAAATTTTTCAACAAGTAACTTGAGAGGGAAGGAGGTTTCTAATTTGTTCAAAAATACCAGAGTATTTTTTTTACTATAAATTTGCTTTTTTACAGATATTAGCTTCCTGCAAATATCTCTTTTCATAGGCAGACAGAAGTATGCAATAATTTTTATGGTCCCAGAAAGAAATAGTGTAAATAAATGGCAACTAGATTTCAGGTTCCTTCATTTTACCTGTGACTCTTAATTGTTACTTGTCTATTTCTGTAAGATTTGATTTATATGCAAATTCTAATTTTTGTGCTTGAATTTTATACACACAAGTTGTCTTGTTGAACTTGGTGAAACTATCAGTATCCTTAAAGTTAAAGCAGATGCATACGTTTGCAAGATCTGGAGAGCTGAAAGGAAATAATGTGATTTAAAGATGGATCACACACTGCTAGTAATAAATAGCAAATAGTTGGCTTTATACAGGATATAGAGAACATCTATCTATGCATTTTGAAATATCCTTGGCATAATTTATAACACAAATATCAAATACCCATGCTGTTGTAATTAAGCTCTAGTAACATCAGGATCTCAACAAGAAGATGAATAAAAAGTGGGAAATTTCCCCCTTGCATTCAGTTAACAGTCTTTACTTTTCTTCCTCGGTTCCAGCTCTCTGTGGCTGGGTGGTCGAAGAAGTGCATTACAGCCTGCCAAAGAGGTGGTTGAATTTGGCCTCTTTTAGACCAAAGCAGAGAATCCTCCCTGCAAGATAATCCCCTGCCAGCTGCCTCCTTCGAGAGCCGTGCCAGCACAGCATGGGCCAGTCTCCAGGGAAGCTGGGGGCTGCTCTTGGCTCTGCCTCTGCCCAAAAACGTCATGCCACCCGTGTGGGGCTCCGCCTTGGGATCCAAGAGATGCATTCTTTTCTTTTCCCTATATACTTCACATATGCTTAGGGCTAAGTTTTGCCATTGTGCAAGTATGTGCATAAAGTAGCTTTAGCTGAAGAACAGGCCAGAGGATGCTGGAAAAATAAGAGCATTGATTGAGTAAGAATGCCCAGCTTGATTTCTTAGCCAGCCTTCCTCTCTTTTTTCCCTGTTTTTGCCCAAATTCCAGCCTTGCTCAACATTATTATTGAATGTTGGAGAAACTGGTAAAAAGTGGTAGCACTGATAGCCGTGATTTAAAAGAGCTCTTGAGGAGAACTGATTGCGCAGGTTACTTATGCAAAAGACTTGAATAAGAAACAGCCAAGAGGTCATTATTAACTGCAAAAAGTTGCAGAACTTAACTACTAGCAAGGGAGTAATATTAATTTTTATGATAGAGAAGAATGTAAGAGGGAATAGAGGGACAAAAATAAGAAACAAGTTATGTAGTGTGATTATCTAGGGAAAAAACAGTGAGTTTGCCAACAGTTTTAGATAACAGAATGATCTCTAAAACAATGCTAGTAGCAGGCTTTGTGTTCATGAGTTTAAAGGTAGCATTTACAAACTTTGTGCTGATGGAAAAAGGGAAACAAACTTTTAATGGCATGAAAAGATGGTATAATTGGTCTGTTCTAATTTCCTAATTTGTATATCTCCCTAACAGATATAAAAAGGTATTATTTGTGGTGGAATCCACTCTGCCAAATTTAGACATTTATCTTGTGCCTGTATTTCAAGTTCCCATCGAAGATGTCCTACTAAAAGTGAGTTATTTCCTTGTGCAACCATCAAAGGGAGATTCTGTCTGCAAATTTGAGAACTCCCCACATTGATCAAGTGAATATTTGCAGATCACCTTGGTTTTGTGGTGCAGAAGAAAGCTCTGTACACCTGGGAGTTATGAGGAAAGTGAAGAAATGAGGAGCTGGGATATGGCAGAATTGAACAGACCCCAGAGTGCATATTCAGTTTACATGCTTAGACATGTCCCTGCTGGGTTTAATCCAGCAAGGAAAGTGCAAAGTCCTGCTCCTGGGGAAGAGCAACCCCAGACACCAGCATGTGCTGGGGCCACCAGGCTGGAAAGCAGTCCTCAAGTTGTCCATGAGTCAGCAATGTGACCCTGCTGCAGAGAAGGCTGATGGTATCCTGGGCTGCAACAGGAATTGTCAGTGTTGCCAGCAGGTCGAGGGAGGTGATGCTGCCCCTCTGCTCAGCAGTGCTGGGGCCACACCTGGAGCTTTGCATCTGGTTCTGTGCTCCTCAGTAAGAGAGATATAGACACACTGTAGAGAGTTCTGGGCCACAGAGATGATTGAGAGACTGAAGAACACACAAGTTTCCCTCTGAACATCAGGAAACAGTTTTTCACCGTGAGGGTGACCAAGCACTGCCAGAAGTTGCCCAGGAATGCTGGTGTTCATCCTTGGAGACAATAAAAAGCAGTCCAGATTTGGTTCTGGGCAACCATCTGTATGTGGCCCTGCTTGAGCAGGGGAGTTAGATCAGATGGCTCCCAGAGATCCCTGCCAGCCGCAGCCTGTCTGTGATGCTGTGATTTTGTGAAAGTCATCACTGTTTTGAGCTGGAAGCTGGTCAGATTATTTTGCGTCAGTACTGGTTTGGGTGTAAACCTTTAACTGGAAAAATGTCAGCACAGAGAAAGAAAATGTCACTCACTGCTTCATTAAACATCCCCTCTTTTCCTCCTTGCACTACCAGAAGTTTCATTCTGACTGGGAAATGTATTTACTAGAACTCCAAAACAATATTTTTTAGTGTTATTAACTTACAATCAGCTATTTTAAGGGTCTGTGCTTGAATTCAGTTTGAATCTCTGCATTAAGAGGGCATTTTGGATGTCAGGAGTGGCAGGAAGTATCCCAGACCCTTAGTCAGCTTGCAACTTTATGTGCATGATCACTTCCCTCTTCCACCCGGGTAGGATGCTGAAAGAGGTCATACATGACATGAAACACTGCCACTTGCCTGGAAGGCTAGATCTCTCCTGGCTGTAAATCAGCTTGATATCCAGAGCTATTAGAAAGCTGGTCAATAGCCCTCACAATATGGGTCTTTTTTAGTGACTTATGATTTAGCAGATCCTACTTAAAATCGTAATATGAAAAAATTTGCATATGTGAAGAAAAGCCTCCTCTCCCTAAGCATGCACACACACACTCTCCAACTCATATTTTTGAGTTATGGCTCTGTCTGCAGACACTGCACAGACTGTTGTGACCTTGGGGCTGTGTGCTGGCATGGAGATCTGGATCTGCTCAAGCTCATCTGAATAATTTCTAGAGGAGTCAACTGGACCTTCTCAAAGTACAGCTTCTCCAGGGTGAAGGCTTTCAATGGGAGGCTAATCGCTAATGTGTGTGTTTTTGTAGCTGAAACTTTTCCCATTGCACTTGTGTGTTAGAAGCTGGAATTTGGCTTCCTGTCTGCCTAGTCTCTGCCTGAAGCAAAATTTTTATGGCTGAGCTGTGAACCCCTTAGTGGAGATGGTTGTAAAAGAAAAGCTTACAGCCTTTTTGACTAATTGTAGCCTTACCAATGATTACCATAACTTTTTGAATTTATTTTTAAAATGTTTGTCCCCTCTGATCTCACTCCATGTTCCGGAGTAAGCTGGAGTTGAAGTGTGAGAATAAAATACAGGGGTAAAAATAAGAAAAAAAAAGATGCTAGGAAAAGATTTTACAACTTTCACAGCTTCCCACTCACCTCCCCAGACTTTGGATTAAACCCTCACAGACCAGTCAGAAAGGAAAGAGATGGAGAGGTCACTGAGATGCTAATGCTCTTTTTCCCAATGGAAAAGTAATCTTATATGTAAAATAAAATAATTCTCAGTCCCATTACAACCAGCAGCTCATTTTAAAAATTCATTAGTCATAAAAAATTATATTTATCTCTGGGAATAAAAAAAATCTCATAAATTAATCACCTCTGAGAATGCCAGAATGTAGGTTTCTTGAGACTGCACTTGGATCTGCAATTTCATAACTATTTTTTTGATGAATTTTTCCCTGTTTTTGGATAATCACCTTTTTTCTTGTGTGCTACATAGTTGCTGCATTGTTCCTCATAAAAATCCAGGGAGCACTTTATGTCTCTAATGAGCATAATATCTTACCTGAGCTCTTTTGTGGTCTTTCTGGTACCTGAGCAGTTTCTTCAGCAACAAGCAATAAGAAGACATGGCAGGAGAGGGTCTGTTATTTATTAAACTGTTGATAACTTCTGAAAGACTGAACTCCATAATGTTTGTCATGTAGTTTAAAACAACAGGATTCAATCCACTGGGGCAAAATCTGAAATGTTAGGAAGAAGTATTTTAATACAAATGATGCGACCAGGTACAATGTCAGAATTTACAGTAAGCAGACAATACACTTCTTGTGTATTGTCTGTATATCACTTCTTGTGATGCAGCTGGAGTTGGCTAAGTTGATTTTACAGGCAAATTATGATACACAGTTGTGCAATAATCTTCTTGTCTGGCCACACTAACTTCACTGCTGGGCTGAGGCTCTGTTACTGCAGCATTAAACATCCTATTGTTGATATAATTGATTACTCGGAAAGGACACGCACCAGGATTAAGCTTGAAAAATTAAAATATGGAAAACAGCATTTTCTCATTTTTATCAAGTGTGTGTATTTCAGTACAGGAGCCTCAAATGGATTAAGAGGGAGATAGTGTGTGTGCATATACGTAAGAAGACAGAAAAGTAACAAAGGCAGGAAAATCTTGAAGGACAAAAGAGAGAGCTAAAGAAAGTACAGTAGGATTCTAATTTTTTATATAAATCAGATTGTGAAATAAAACATGTTTTGTTATAAGGATAATTGTTTTACTCATGGGTTTCTGTGAGTAGTAAAGTCTAGTAAAGCCATTATAGAAATCATCCTTAGATTATGAGACTCCTGAGATATTTTTTGACCTTGAGTATGAATGAGAACAAACACGTGAGGGAAGGAAAAAGGGCAAAGGCAGGAGCAGTGGGCACTTCCCACAGAAATTGCAGCATAGATTTCTAACAGTTCTGGCTGTGAGTGGCAGTGGATCACCATGGTAGGAAAACCTGCTAAGAGTCCTCTAGACACAGATGGTGCAGATTACACAGGCCAGATTACTCTCTTTTTCAATTAGTGTGAAATACTGACCCTTACAGAACAGTTTGGGAATAAAATATGTGACCCATTACTAGCTACTTTACTAGCAGTATGATGTAAAATGCCCATCACCGAATTTAGGCATTTAAAAACATGTGAAGCATGCTTTGCAGCCTCCCAATATGAAAGATGAATAATATCTTGAAAATTGGCAGCATTTATGTGAAGTGTTCTATTGCACATATCTATTTCAAACTTTTATAATAATTTTAAACCATAAAGTGCCTTGCTAAGAAAAAATGGAGACTTGTTAAAACCAGTTACAAAGACAGATGAGAATAAAAATTATTAGAATAACAAGAAATTTGGTATAATATAAAAAAGATTTCTCCAGGCGGGCATGTGAGACCTAGTATTGTAGGAAAGGATTAGAAGCACACTGAAATTAGTGGCAGCTGTGAAGCATATTAAGAACAAAATTATTGATACTATATATATAAACAGTTCTATAAGGGTGTTTCCTTTTAAATAAAATTTATTCAGAGTTAGAAGTGTTGATGTGGTGTTTTCTGAAGTAAAACTCTCTCATTTTGGAAGGGCACATAGGAGATAAAAAAATCTTATTAAAAAAAACCAAAAACAAAACCCCCAAAAGGATCAAAAAAATGTTTTCCTCCCAAATCCCCAATCCTGAAATCCAAAGGTAGAAGACAGATGTCAAAACTGTTACCTGTTCTCATAGGCAGCAGTGTTCAGTATTTTCCTGGTGAAACCTTCATTCAACCATTTGTCTTTTATTGCTTCTTTGACTCCAGGCCTCTTATCAGGGTCGGGCTCAAGTAGAGACTGCATGAAGTGTACAGCTCCTGTACAGTATTCCAAAAAAATGGCTTGTTTGCTAGTAATATTTCACTATCTGAGCACTGCATATTTTTCCTGTTTCAGAAATGTAGCACTTGCCCTGCTTCTCCACATTGTAAGAGCCTCAGCTAAAATTCAGTCTCTAGGGCTTTTCTTTGAGCCTGCCATGGTCCCATAGGGTGACCCTTTTCCCCCAAGGGCAGGGTGGGCAGCAGTGGCCAAACCATGCTGAGATGCATGCTAGGGACCTTTGGATGCTGCTGTAGATGCAGTTCCTAATTTTCCTGATTACCCCAGTGAATGCAGCCCATGCCACCAGCAGTCATTAGACAGCATTTGATTAGGCCTCTGATAAGGGGCACTTCAGTGCCAGCTGACTGCACAGGAGTTATGTTCCTCACCCAAAGAAGAAGCTGGTTGCATGGATAAAAGCCTCTGTAATGAGGTATGGAGATGGACTCCTGTGCTCAGATGATGTGTTGTGCTTTGTCTCCCTGGACTTGGGACAGAGAGAGCTCAAACATTCCAGTATGTCAATCACTCAGCTCCAACATTTCATGAAGTCTCTCTTTTTTTTTTTTTAATTTTTTTTTTTCTTTTTTTTCTTCTTGGGAAAACTTTACTGAATTTTTCCATATTCCTTGGGGAAGTTTTCAAATGGAAAAAATGGCAAGTGAGCATTAAACTGGGAATGCGCTGCTCCTTTCACTTGTAATCTCCTTCAGAAGAATTTAGATCTAAAGTATGCAGAGCCAGTTTATTACTGCTCTCTCACTGAATTCCCAGTGGGCAAGAGAACAATGGAGTTATCCACCATCTTCCACTAACTGTGTGGGCTTTGTAGAAAAAGCAGAGATAATGCATTTATTAGCAGAAGCTATAACAATAACATAAATAAGAAAAATTAGAGTTATAATAATTCCATCTACGGAGGGATTCTACAAAAATGAAGCTACTATCTGGCAACTGATCTCCAAAGAAAGAGAAATGGGAGACTAATGCACAGACATTCTTGACAGCTATGGTAGATATCCTTATTCCATTTACTAGGGGAGAGAAAGAAATTGAATCATCACATTATCTTAATACTCCAGACTAGATCCAGCTAGCTTAATCTGGAACTGTCTGCTGCTTCCCAGGGCTCAGCTGCAGGCAGCTGCTGAAGCTAATCCTGGTTCCTAGGATCATTCTTGCCTAAGAACATTGTAGTTCCTCACAACCATGGGGAGATCTGAACTCCTGCTGGTAGATAGCTGGGCAAAATATGTCGCTCTTTCCTCTGCTTTCCAACTCGGTCAGTGAAGACGTACCATAACAGCTCTGAGAAGGGACCCAAGCCTGTGATGGCCAACAGGGAGGATGTTACTCCAGGTGGAGAGAAAATAGGGATCAAAGCCAGAGGTGTATAAGAATCGCTGTAAAGCAGAAGAATTTTGAGCTTTGAGGAGGTAAACCTTGTACTGCTGACTGAGAGCATGTACACTCCAATGGGAATTCTGGGGTTTAGAGCCATGGATTGTAATTCAGGCTAGAATTTTTGAGAACTATCTTTCTCGGTTGTCCCAAATATACTTCACTGACTGTATCTTATTGAAGATTGTCAGTAAAATTAGTTGAAAAATGCCACATTTTGGTTGTTTCTCATGAAAAATATTAGCAGACTCCTCACAAAAATAATCCTCCCATGACTTTAATAATCTCAGTGTTGTAGGGTCTGTCAGCAGCCAAAAGATAAGGTCTCCATGAAAAAATATCTAAGGTTTAGATAATTTATTTGTGGGAAAAACAGGAAAGAATGCCTGTCTGTGATACACAGCATGGGACATACTAAACATGGCAATGCTCTCATTTACTGCAGATCTGCTCCAATTATGTAAAAGCAACATACATTTTATTCTCCCTGTAAGTAAGCACCAAGAATAATGGTCTTTTGAAAAGACAACAGTGTTATTTTTCTTGTAGCCTGAGATAGAGTGATATTGCCACAGCCCCAAAAAAGTTGTTTCTAAATGCAAACGAAGCAGCTGGAAAAGGTACATCTTAGTTTCCAGAAGACTGTGTTATTGCTAAATTCACATAATTACAGGGGTTGAAACTTTTTTGCATCAGTATTCTTTATAAAAACTGAAGTGTTTTACCAGGGGAAATATCAGATGGAATAGGGCCGATTTCTCCAATTAACATCTTTTGATGCAGTTGCTTGATATTAAAAGGCTCCACTGTGAAGGGCAATGTGCCAGTTAGCATAGCAAACATGCTCACACCTCTGTCAAAAGAAAAGACAAACATCAGAGCTCCCTATAATGCTAATAAACACTGATTTAAAAATCTCACAAAGTTATGAATCAGTTTTCAGAGAGTTGCCTTCAGCATCACAAATGAGGTTACAAATTACCCCTAAGCAGAAATTTGTACTGAATACACATCTTATGCCTTTTTTTCTTTGTGTAAATGCCATTTTATCTAGAAAAGAATGCTTTGGGAAGTGTGCATAAAATAGAGTGTGCAGTGAGTGATGGGAAAGCCTGCAGTGTTGAAAGTGGAGACCTGCTGTTTATTTTAAAAATAAGCTAATTGGAGTGACAGTGTAATGTACCCAGCCCATCAGAATAAAGCGTTTTGGTTTGGAGGCTGAGTGACAACACGGCACAGGGACTGATGCAATAGATCTTGTTCCAAATAGTAATTCAATTCTTCTTGCTTTGCTCAGATTGCTAAATTAGGTGTGACTTATGCCTAGAAGGCTTTCGTTTGGTAACAGCTTGCTGTTGGCTAAAGTCTTAAAACTTTAACTCTTGTGAAAGACTAACAGCCTGCTAGCAGCAATCAGCAAACTTTGTGAAGGTTTGCCATTCAGTCTGGAAAAGTACCAACTTTTGGAAAACTTGCTTAGCTGTCCTGAGTTTGTGAACAGGGAGGCTTCCTTGAACACTCTCCATGGTACTTCCTTGCTCCAGCTGAACTGCACCACCACAACAGCTCTGTTCTTCATCATAGAATGAATCATTGAACCATAGAATGGCCTGGGTTGGAAGGAATCCTAAAGATCATGAAGTTTCAATCCCTCTGCTGAGGGCAGTGACACCTTTCCCTAGACCAGGTTGTTCAGACCTCCCTCCAAGTGTCCTTTACCATTTCTCTACTGAGCTCAGCAGAAATAATAATTTTAGGAATTCAGGCAATTCTAATTTATTTGACTTTTTGGTACACTAGTGCAGATAATATCTGTGAAACAAATCTGTGATGTGTTCAACTCTGATTTTTATTAATGTGTTCAAACAATTGAAAAACATGAGATGGACTTGCTGTTCAAAACCTCTTTTAAAATATTACACACAGTTACAGCTAGTAAACACTAACACACTTGGTAGTTACTTTTAGATGGAATCTGAATGGCATGTTAAACGTGAAAGTTTATTAGCCATAACAAACTGCTTCTCCTCTGTCCTACTGAACTTGTGGATTTGTTTGAATACAGCAGCTGTTTCCTCGATTCAGCTGTTGCATGAAAGCCAATCACTTCGCAGTCTCCAAAGGACCTTTAAAATCTTCTGCACAAAAGTAATGATTAGGCAAACAGGCGCTGCAGTTCACTGGTGCATCTCAGGAGCCTTGCCTGTACTGCAGCTGGATCTGGTTGGGTCTGTGAGTGTGCTTTTGACTGACTGGCTTTCTGGTTCCTGTTGTAATGACCCCTTGTTGGTTCTGCTGCATAAAGTCAGTATTTCTGCACTACACTGAAATATTTTCATTCTAGAGCCCCATCAGTTTGTAGTCCTTTACCTATTTTGTGACAACAGAAGTAACTTACCTTTTAACTAATATTTCAGTCCATCAGAATTCCCTTTCCCAGTATGATAATGTGAAAAATTCCAATTTAAATTTTATATGTGCTTTATGTCTGAGGTTCAGAATATGTCTGTGTAAAACAACAAAGACCATATAGATGTTTTATATAGACCTTGACCTGTTATTTACTGTTTATTAAGAGTGAGCTTGGTAAATAGTTCTAAAGATTACTGCTTTGCCCCATTCAGATATCTGAAATGTGAAATCAGAATTATCCTATTTTAGTGTTGACAGCATCCTCTAGACGTGATTAATCTGTGCTATGTTTACATAAATCCAGAGTAGCACTCTTGAAAACCAGACAAATATTGAAGTAGTTTGGTAGCACGTGTTCCTTCACCCTTAACTTTGTGTACTATTAATACCCTGTAAATTTAGAAGAAGCTGAGATATAGGAACCATGGTTAGATAAAACCTCAAATATATAGTATGTCTGCCAGAGCAGGTCTTGAGAGGAATAATATACTTTCTATATGTATATAAATCCTTTTTACCTTTTGAGCATATAGGAAAACGAATCTTCTGTTTTAGGCACCTGAACCAGGTGTCGGTATGCAACTACCAGCAACCCTGTAGAGCAAACTAAAACTCTTTGTCCTTTGTGAACACGTAGTTTAGTCTTTACTGCTCTTTACACAGCTCTCTTTATGGCTGAGAACTCCTCAAGGAGACTCCATATCCTTGCAGATGGACAGGCAAGTGTGACATCCCTGTTCAGAGCAGCTGGGTACCTCCAGGCCTTCCTTTCCTATTTGCAGGTGCCCTGAATGAAGTGGTTTAAATCAAATGCAGCATTGTGCGTTAAACACAATGGTTTGGGTTGGAAGTGACCTTAAAAATCATTTCATTCCAACGTCCCTGTCATGGACAGGGACACCTTCCACTGTACCAGGTTGCTCAGGGCCCCATCCAGCCTGGCCTTGAATACTTCCAGTGATGGGGCATCCACAGCTTCTTTAGACAACCTATTCCAGAAGCATATCATTATATCCCTCAAATAAATATGCTTGTGAGGTGGGATGGGAGGGGTATTTCTAAACTAAAAAGCGCTGTTACTCTTAGAAGCCTTGCGAGCTATTTGAAATTCATGGGATTTTATCACTGGCTTCAAGAGCTGGATTTGCACTCTAACACTTGGTAGTCAGGATACTGCAAGGAATTATGGTTACAATTGTAAATAAATGGGAAGAGTCTGGATGAAAGTGCATTTAATGAGCCAATTTTTTTTTCCATCTTAATATTCTAGGCGAAGATTTGGTTTAGTCTGTATTACTCATACTCATTTGCCATGCCCTGAATCATTCCTGCTAGAAATTGGCTTAAAAAATGTCTCCTGGGTGGAGACCCAGATATCTGGCTACAGTGAAAAAGTGGAGGAGAAGCTGATACACTGGCATATATATGTATATGCATATATATACATATGTATGTATGTATGTATGTATGTATGTATGTATATAAGCACACATATATACAGATAATCATGAACTGCTTTTGGCAAAATGGTGGACATAGAGAGCTGTTCTCCTGTCCAAATCCATGAAGATTAAAGAATACAAAAATCGACTAATCTACTTAATATATCATAATTTTCCCAGCTCCACCTAGGAAAAATGTAAAAAACCTCATAACTTCCCTACTAGAACTACAAACTGCAAATGTGTTTAAAAAGTCTAAGATACTTTATGTGAAAAACTGCTCTTCTCCTGGCACCTTCTGCATTCTTGCTTATTACAGGAGATGTATCCTGTAGATGTAATGAAAAGGGACAGTGGAGGCCATGAAGGTTTGTGTCATCTATGAAGGAAAAGAACTCCACTTTATTATCGTAATTCAGTATAAAGGGCTTTGCTAAGGTATGGGTGGAGGTCTCATAGCTCTGTTATACATCTTTGGCCTGTGTGTCCCTGAGACTCAAATTTTCTGTACAGATTTACTTTTTTTTTTGCAAAATTTGCCTTAGACAGAAAATGCCCATTTGTCAGTCCAGAGCTTTCAAGGAGTCTGATTTTCACAGAAGTTACTCAGCTGTCAGCTGAAACCAGCTGCCAGGACAGGAGGGTAGTGGGGTCATTTGAGGGGGTTGATATGCACAATTCTTTCTCTGACTTTTTGACTTAAACCTATAGCACAGGTTCCTACATGCAGGTACCCTACCTTCTGCTGGCTTCTTTTGGCACTGGGTTAATCCAGAGCAGCATGTGTATTGATCATTCATTTTTTTTTCTCCAGTGTTTTGCAATGGAAGCACATTTCAAGATACTCAGTTGTTTGTTTTTTTTTCTGGTAACCTTTCCCTGTTATATCTCTGCTTTTGCCTTTAATGCCCCAAAGCTGAATGTTACCAACCCATTTAGTCTTCTCTAAACCGGTCAGTGCTGAGAATGTTTCAATAAGTACATTTTTAGATCTACTTACATGGACCAGACATCTACCTTTGGACCATATTTCTTATGAGCAAGGAGTTCTGGGGCAGCATAAGCTGGACTTCCACACTGGGTATGTAACAGCTCCTGGGAGAGACCCTCAAACCTTGCAGTATTGCTCAGTCCAAAATCTGATGGTCACAAAGCCAAAGACAAAGAAGTTTTAGTGTCTTTTGAAATTGCTTTATCAATTATCTGAAAGTAGGAGAAAGACAAAACCAGCATCCAGTTGTAGCATCTATTGATGTCTCAGCTGTGGATGCCAATTTGGGTTTGAATAAACATGCCATGAATTAGCAGGGGACTTACAGTGAAGTTACCCAGCCATGGACCTGGCTTGATTGATTTTGGTTTAATTATTTTGGTTTGTCTCTGTTGACTGCATGAGCTTAACAACATAGCCACATTAGCATGGCTTAATGAGCTATGACATTGGGCTCAGCTCTGTGTGCTCCAGCCCATGGTAAATGTGGGGGGAAAAGGACTAACTTAAGCCTTTTTCTCTGTGTATGTGCACGTGTGCAAGGGGGAGGAAGGAGAAAGGTGTGATTGTAAAGGACTGGCTGGCTATAAAACAGGGGTGAAGAGTTGGTGCCTTTTTTTCTCAGAGGTGTTAAGCTTTTAAAAGTTTGGGAAACACTGGGTTAAACATGTGGCTTCCCTAAGATTTAGAATCCGTTGTGAGGACTTTTCTGCGAGGTTTCATGGAATAAAATTAATGTTTCTCTGAGCTGTGTTAACTGCTTGGTGCAAATTCTCTCATTTTTATAATTGTTTGCTTCACAGCCCTAGCAAGATTTCTGTTAGTGACCAAAAGAGTCTCTCTTTTTTTTTTGACACATACCAAATGATGAGGTCTCTAGCTGAAGTAATGACTCAACAGAAACTAATGTGTCCATACCTGTGTTTCACCCCAGAAGATTTATTTCTTTGTCTACAAATCACTTCTGGTAGGAACAGCTTTCTACACATAAATGCTGTAATTGTTTCTTGGTTCACCAGCAATACACAAGGGAAAATAATCCACAAAATTGTTTTTCTTGTTCTCTTAAAAATATGTTGCAGTTAAAGTTCAAATAAACAAGCTGTTACTAACTTGAATTTATTCTAAAAACTCAAATATATTTATTGAATAATCACAAGCTCACTTGTCAAGTATGGTGTTTGAACAGTAGCTGAAGCTGCACGCACACAAAAAAAGCAGAAAGCAAGCCTCACAGACAGCGGTGCACCTACCAATGATTTTGATGTTGTTGTTCTCATCAAGAAGAAAATTTTCAATTTTTAGGTCCCTGAAATTAAGGCAGAAAACAAACTTTAGGATGCCTGATGTCCCAGCTAAACATTTGCAGATAGTTTTTGGCAAAGTTTAATTGAAATTATAACAATAGTTCTGCAAAGCTCTGCCTACAATTCTAACAAGATCCTTATTCCTTCCTGAAATTTTCAGTCAGGAAAATGGAAACTATCTGTATTTCAGGGAATATTTTAAGAATATACATTTTAAATAAAGTATTAATTTTAGGAATCATGTTCTACTGATTTAGACTTTTTTTTTTTAGTGAATTGCATTTATTTCTTCTTTTGAGTAAAAAAGTTGCACATATTGGACCACAGTTCATTTGGCTTTTTGGAGTATTGAGCACTCCTGCATATTTCTGATTTCTTTGCGAGTAAGTAGTGCCCGGGAAATGTGAAGGGTGAGAGGGGAGCTGGAAAGTGAGATTTGCCTTGCTTGTAAAAGAGGGGATATGTATCAAAGCTGCGTTGGAGACAGCTACCCTGAAAGCAGAGACATCTTTGGTGATGTCCATGTAAACAGAATCAATAGGATTACAGGAAGATGTAATCCAAGCTGCAAGAAAAATACTGGCTCAGGTACTTGTGTGAGCATTTACATATTTCCAAATTAAAAACAAAAGCCAGAATAATGCCTTGCTCTGGGGAGTGCCTGAAGTGTCAACTGAAATATTTGTCATCGTGGAGGAGTTCTCAGCCAGTGTAATTTCTGAGCTGGGGGCCAGGCAAAGATCTTGCAATGCTTTTCTAAGTCCTGGATTTCCCTCCCACCTGCTCTGAATCTGTGAAGTGCTTTTGTCAACTCTTGGGGAGACCTTGGAGGACAAACCAGAAGGAGTGATGGGAACAAGGCACAAGGGCTGGGTGAACTGGTGCTGCATGAACAGCCCTGCATTGCTGCAGGGGATCAAGCCTGGAGGTGGTCGTGGTGAGTGGGTTTAGGGGAGCATCCTTTTAACTCTGTGGCTCTGGATGGGACAACATTGCATTCAAAACTCTCTGCTGCCCCAGGCTGAGAATGGGGATGGTTTTAATGATATCTTTTTAATAAGTTTTAATTTGAATAGCATGTTTTCTGGAGTGGCAAATTAACAGTGCCCAAAAGCTGGGAGGTAGATTTAAGGTAAGTTTGTTCATAGCCTGCCTGTGCCATAACCCTATGCACTGAAATACTGTGGTTTAAAATAATTTGTGTTTCAGGCTACTGCAAATCTGACATTTCTATTAGATTTAGCACCCCACAGTGCACTCTGATGACTTTTACTCACTGCCATTAAATAATGTTATGTTTGCTATGATTGCTACAACTGCTGTTCTTTAGGCTGAGCTGACTGCTCACAGAGTTAATAAAAATGTAGACTTTCTTGCCTGAAAAACATGATAATGGTCACTATGAAAGTTTGCATAATGTCAGAAGTTATCTTACATCAAAGATACATCATGTTCTTTTTTTTTACCAAAGGAAACTTCCCAAGGAATGTTGTAAATTTAAGCAAGACCATGATTTTTTTTCCTCCTCATTCCCATGGGCGCTTCAGAGAGAGAGAGAGAGCCTAGAGGGCAGCTTGTGATGTTTCTCCAGGACTTTGGTTCAGTAGGGATTCAAAGGAACATATGACATTTTTATTTGAGGGGAGGGAAAATATCCAGGAAAAACAGGCAGGAAAAATTAGGAACTGTATAAACAAGTAAGTTACTGTCACCTCGCAAGTGCCAGCTGCAGGGGTCGGTAGCTGTCTGCGCACGCGCCACTCCAATCCAGTTGCAAGGCAATGGGATTTAGCTTACACATCTTTATTTGGGGTTTCTAAGCTCAGATGCATTACCTCACCACTTGGCCATGTCCAGAGCAGGCACAGGGATAGTAAGCAGAACTCAGTTGATGAGTGTTAGCTTGTGGAGCTGTTGAGCCAGCTCTTGTGCCTGAACCTTCTTATATCTGGCACAGTAAAATGCTGGGCGTCAATGCTCCATCTTCTGGGTCATTTTGGCAACTGTGACAAAAGATCAACCATGATCTTGCATGGACAAGAAAGGTTGCTACCTTTGCTCTGAAATGTGGACTCAATTTAACCTGTAAGGATCTGGTGCATCAGTGCTCATTTTAGTGATGAATTGGAGAAGTAAAGGTTAAAACACCAAATAGTTGTCCAAACACAGTATCAAATTTCGCTTGAGATATATCAGTTTGGACTAAAAACAGCTACAAAATTGACCAGTTTTTCAGCAGGTATTTTGTTAAGACGGTAGAAAATATTGTTTTTCTGAGATACATGCAGGGTTAAAAATCAGGAGTGCCCATAAAACACTTTGGTGAAAAGTAAATTAAATTAAAACATTCCTAAGTGATGAGCTTAGGGATGAGACCCTACTATCAGCAAACACCTCAATGCTTGGCATAGACCCAAGCATTGGCACACAATTATGAACTCATAACTGGTGTGATTCTACCAGGATCCTCTCCACAGATCAGCAGCTGTTCCCAACAGGCAGCTTGGGAACCCTCCTTTCCTTGTGTTAAAGCAATGCAAGGAGTTGAGTTTTCCTCAGTGCTTAGATGGGAAAACCAGACTGGATTTGTGAGGCAACTTTCCTACTTCTTCCCTCATCTTTCTGGAAACACTGATGCCTTCGTTTCAAAAGAGGATACACCCACAATTATCCATGTTGGTTTAACCTCTGCAGTGAGTTGCAATAAATCACTGCAGCTGGATGAGCTGAGCGGGGAAGCCCTTCCAGATCCTTCCCAATCTGCTTCTGGTGAGAGGTCAAGGCCACAGCTCTGAATCTCAAAGCTAGAAGCAGGTCACAAGTTGAAGTACTGCTGACTGAACCTACACCTGTGACTGGGCTCCTGCCAGGCCATGCAACTTCATAAACTCTGTGACAAAGTGCTGGAGAGGCAGGAATGAATTTTCCTTTGGTATGGGCAGTTTGATAGTAAATCAAGTCACCAGAGGAGCCCACACGACTTTGTACCTGCCTACTCTCAGGGTGTGCAGAAAAATTCTTCTCTCCCACAAAGCTTTTCCAGCAAAGCATGAACAGAAAAAGACAAGTGGGGCGAGAAGTCAGGCTAGTCTCCAGCTCACTGTGAAGAATTATTCCAAATGAAAAGATGGGAACAGGACTTGAGAAACTAATGGCGAATGTTGTCATGGGAAGAACATAAATGTTATGATAAAGAGCACTGAAGAAATGCTGTAAAATAGATTAGTTAGGAAACCAGCAGGGCAGGGATATCAGCCTGGACTAAATGGGTGCAGCTCCTTGCATTTGTTTTCTGGTGTTTTTTTGGTTTTGTTGTTTGTTTAAATTCTCTAGGTCAGATACTGACTATTTCTTTCTTGACCATTCCTTATTAATTGACAAATTCAATATAATGAAGTGCTGGATTGTAAGCATTTTGAGTCACAAAACACTTGTAATGGCTGAAACATCACATTTACAGCTTATTTGTTTCATGGTTGCTGTAACGATGGAGTCAACTGGGTTACTTTTTAGGTCCTGTGGGCTTTCTTGGTGAGTGCATTTACCATTTAAAATTAAGAATCTGATTGACTGTGAATTGTTAAGTAAAACAGAAAACCGGTGGGAAAAACTGCATCTTGCCTATTCTTCCAGCTAAAATGGAAGTCTTATTCTGCTGCTCTTGACATTTGTGCCAAGATCCCTTATAGAGAGGAAGATCAGTTCTCCTTGCAAGGGTGCTCAGGTTCCTATAGCAGTGACTGAATTCATGATCTGTCCTCGTAATGCAAAAACCAACATGGAGAGTCATCAACCACCGGCAGGACATGTCCTCTTGATAAGCAGTGGGCTGTGATTCCTTGGATTTCTGTTCTGAGTTATTTCAATACATTGTGGCTAAACAAAGTACGACAATATCCATATGCATAGCCACACTAAAATATTTGAATAATTTCAAATTATTTTAAAATTATAAAATTATTAAAATGATTCAAATTAGTTCATTTGCCATTAACTAATTCTGAGACAATTGTGACAAAGTATTGGTTTGTTGTGCTCATCTGCTCTTGTCCCTGGGATAAGTATCTTTTTTTCTTCACTGCCTAAGGGGTTCATAACAACTCATAACAGTACTAACCACTACAGAAAATAAAATGCGTTGTTAATATGAGCTGAGAGAAAATAGTTTTCTTTGTAATCCCTGTTTTTGTGATGGAAAAAATAAAGATATGCTCTTGGTGAAGAAGAGAACTCTATGTTCTTGCACGCTTCCTTTTCTTACTGTTTGAAAGAGGAGAAACATCTTACCTGTGAACAATCCCCTGGCAATGCAGGTGCCCTACTGCAGACAGAATTTGCCTGGTATATCTCCTTACTTCCTGTTCCACCAGCCTCTTTTTGTCACAGATTCTGTCCAGGAGATCCCCACCGAGGCACAGCTCCATCACCATGTAATAGGAGTTGTCAGTCTCCAAGGTCTCATATAGCCGAACAACATTGGGGTGCTTAACCATCTGGTGTATCCGCGGCTCACGCTTCATGTTTTTTAAAACATAGTAATCCTGCTTGGCTTTCCTCTTGTCAATGACTTTTATGGCTACCTAAATGGCAGGATATTTGCAAATTAGCAACAAGCTTTGCAACAAGGATTAGTTTTCAGGAGGATAGGGAGTAAGATGATATGGGAGAGATGCTTTTTTTGAAATGGTGTTGATAATCAGAATCACATGATGTTTCTGATGGAAGAATGCACTTTTCTCTTGATGGCCAAAACAAGAAGGCTGAAGTCTGTCATATCTGTCACTCTCATTGCATTAATAAAAATGCATATATGAAATATTCTGAAATGCAAAAATCCCTTCATGTTTGACTTGTAACAGTGTCTGAAACATACCACACTTTTCTTCTAACATGCTCCCTTCTGACTTAGTCTAAAAGCCACTCCACATACTGGCTATTATGGGCTGGGGAGCTAGCCAGATAGCGTAGCTACCGAAGTCACAAGAAAAGTAAAAGTCAAAAATTCCCTTGAGAGTAACCCACTTGTGTCTGGTGGTATGTTACTTTAGCCCAACTGAGCTGGAGATAACTGATGCTATCTGTGTCCTGCCATATAAATATTTGCTGTTGGAAGGGTTGACTTTTCATTCAGTGCTGTCCATAGCTTTAAAGTTGAGACACATGGCACTAATTGCTCAGTGAGGATTATTAGGCAAAGCAGATTTGAAATTGTCTTTATGCCAGCATCCTTTTCTCTTTCAGGAGAATATCTTTGTTGTCTATATTTTATAACTGTGAAAAAAGTTGCACTCAATATGTATTCACACATGTGATTGATTATACATAAGCAGTAAACTGAATTTATGAGGTTAATTTATGAGGATAAGGTTCAGAGGATAATTCACTGAGTAGATTGTGGTTTTCAGATTAAACATCTGAAATTTTCTGCCATAAATTAGTGTGGGGTTACTTGCAATTCCTAGTGCGTGTTACCCTCTTCTTTCGAGCTTACCTTCTCCCCTGTGGGAATGTGTAGTCCCTCCATCACCTTGGCAAAGGAGCCCTTGTTGATCATTTTGCCTACTAGGTAATTCCCAACTTGTTTGGAGTGAAGGAAAGTTTTCCCAGTCTCTTGGGGCATCTTGTTAAAAAAAACAGGTATTTTTATATCCTTTAAGATTTTCTCCCATTCTGGTAATATCTCATCCAAGTTGCTGGTATCTGTCATTTTGTCATCCAAGCCTGCCTTCATTGCCATGGGTGTCCCTGTGGAGCTGGACTTGTACTGCTACTTTCCAGATGTAGCTTCCGACTCACGGCAGATCCAGGCATTAGGTCGGAATATCTCGTGGGGCAAGAGCCATCCTGCTGATCACAAAGCAACTAATCCTTTTCCCCTGAGACTCCAGCTTTGTCAGCTGATCCCTATTTTGGGCACACAGATCTGCTCAAGCAGAACCAAGTGGTGGATTATTAACCTAACCTGATATGCGATGCCAGTTAATGCCCCAGAGCTGCCAAGTCAGATGACACATAATCCCAGACTTAGCCTGGAATATGAGGCTCTTTTCCTCCTACAATAACTCCCTAAACACATGTTCAGTGCAAGTTGCACCAAACTAAACTGAGTCACAATTTTCCTGACATGCATATGGCTGGTGTCCAAGGACACAAGTTTACTCTAAAAACACTGTGCAAAGCAGATGGATGCAAAGCTGAGTTATGTACCTGATGCTCTGCAAGCATTTATATATTTGCTGTGCAAAACATAAAACTATTTATGCATTTGTAACACATTTAAGTACTGGTCTGACTCCAGGTCGCACAGAGGTCTTTTGTGTTTCATGGGATGTAATTCTCTGTCCAGTGGGGACTCTGTGTGTCTGGGTGTATATGTGTGTGCAAGCTTTTTCCTCTGTACAGTAATGACTGATTAAAAAAAAAAA